AATCCAGTTTTGCTAATCGTTTTCGAACAATTCGGTTCTCTTCAGCAAGGCGAAGAAGCCTTGGAACGGATTGAATGAAGTCTGTGCTTCGAAATAGCATTCGCCTTTGCCTTTTGGCTCACGCCTTTTGGCTTTTAGCTGCAACTTATTGAAAAGTCGTCACTATTATGTCTGTCTCAATGGTAGCTTCAAGAATATACACGGAATCTATCACACTTATCTGACACCTGTCCAGCGCTGCTACTAATTTTGGAGTAATTAAATCTTTCCACTTGCATGTTTCACTCGTTCCAGGTCGTGTGTTATCTCGATCAGCGTTGGCAAATCTACTTGTAAATCCATAGTTTCATTCAAATCAGAAGATGAATCGTTTTTTAACGGTTTATAAGATGGTGTCAAAGAAGTTGCCACGGAGAAATACATAGCACGCCGTTTTTCTTCCTTAATAGTTCTAAGGCGGACCCTTTTCTCTTTATCAACCAGTCTTCCCACTTGAGCTAAGTGGCCTGGTCCACCTGGCTTTCTTTCGCGCTCAAAAAAACCTATCTTCATTTATTTTCATGAATTCAAGTCCATCCGCGTGTATAATGTCAAACAGATTTTCTAAGTTGTTGACAAACTTGTCGATGCTGCTTAAATACGTCTAGTGTTTTTGTTCATTTTTTGCAAGTTCCCCGAGCGTGATATAAGTTCACAAGTTTCTTCATCCCACTACGTAAAGATTTAGTAGGTATTCGCGCATTTTCACAATATAAATGGACTCAAGAATAGTGAGATTTGTGCTTTCATTAACACTTAAATGCACTTCACGAATATTGTAAAACAAAACTGTCAGAACTTGTCCAGTTGAGAGAAGTTTTAAACCGATTATTTGAGGTTTCACGTCCCCTATTAAAATATGCTCTTTTTAGAACAGCTTAATCTCACGCACATGTTGACTTTTTGAAAACTAGACGATTACAAACAAAATAGCAAGTAATTAGTTGCAGTCCATACACCGGCTCGTATTAGACCGAGTGCAAGTACGAGTACTGACATGTTTCGATACTAGTCGGTACGGGTTGCCATAATTCTTCTTACACGAAATATCGTTTACAATTATGCCAATTACTCTTCCGATGAATCCGTTGCCTGATATGCACCAGCGATGCCAGAGGACGAGATAAAGCACATTACGAAAACATCGATCATCCACTTTCGCGGGCGCGTGAAACGGTTGGTTATCGAAACAAGTGCTTGTGGTGCGCACAAATTAAGGAAGTCGATTTAGAGGTAGATTCCCGCTTTCAGCAACAGTTCTCCGATTAATCTTTGTGGTGAGAGTGCCGCCCTAGAGTACACTCCTCGTTGAAGATTAATTCGAATGTCGCCCGTCGGGCAGCACAGTAGTTGCGGTATTAGAAAGAGAACGAAAAAGTGAAGAAGTGGAGAAGTTAAGAAGAAGTGGAGAAGAATGAAGAAGAAAAAGGGGAGAAGCGAAGAAGTGAAGCAAAAGTGAAGAAGTGAAGAAGTGATGAAGTGGAGAAGTGATGAAGTGGAGAAGTGATGAAGTGGAGATGTGATGAAGTGTACAAGTGTACAAGTGTTCAAGTGTTCAAGTGTTGGAGTGTTCAAGTGTTCAAGAGTTCAAGTACTCAAGTGTTCTATTGTTCAAGTGTTCAAGTGTTCCAGTGTTCAAGTGTTCAAGTAATCGTGTGTTCAAGTGTTCCAGTGTCCAAGTGTTCCAGTGTTCAAGTGTTCAAGTATTCATGTGTTCAAGTGTCCAAGTGTTCAAGTGTTTAAGTGTTTAAGTGTTCAAGTGTTCAAGTGTTCCAGTGTTCAAGTGCCCAAATGTTCAAGTGTTTAAGTGTTAAGAGTGTTCAAGCGTTCCAATGTTCCAGTGTTCCAGTGTTCAAGTGTTCAAGTGTTCAAGTGTTCCAGTGTTCCAGTGTTCCAGTGTTTCAGTGTTCAAGTGTTCAAGTGTTCAAGTGTTCAAGAGTTCAAGAGTTCAAGAGTTCAAGAGTTCAAGAGTTCAAGAGTTCAAGAGTTCAAGAGTTCAAGTGTTCAAGTGGTCAAGTGTTCAAGGGTGCAAGTGTTCAAGTGTTCAAGTAATCAAGTGTTCAAGTGTTCCAGTGTTCAAGTGTTCCAGTGATCCAGTGTTCAAGTCTTCAAGTTTCAAGTTTTCAAGTGTTCCAATGTTCAAGTATCCAAGTGTCCAAGTGTTCAAGTGTTCAAGTGTTCACATGTTCAAGTCTTCTTGTGTTCTAGTGTTCAAGTGTTCAAGTGTTCACATGTTCAAGTCTAGTGTTCAAGTGTTCCAGTGTTGAAGTGTTCAAGTGTTCCTGTGTTAAGTGTTCAAGTGTTCAAGTGTTCTCTTGATTTTACGAGATTTAACGAGATTTCGCGAGATTTTTCGAGATTTTACGCGATCTCGCGAGATTTCACGAGATCTCGCGAAATTTCACGAGATCTCATGAGATTTCAAGAGATCTCGCGAGATTTCAAGAGATTTCACAAGATCTCGCGAGATTTCACGAAATTTCGCGAGAGATCACGAGATTTCACGAGATCTCGCGAGACATCATTCGAATAGACCTGACAAGGAAGCGTCTGGTATTACTCAAAAGAGTGGTGGAAAGTTTTGATCTCCAGAACGTGTGGATAACTGACGGCTTTATCATAGGAAACACAGGTGTTTTAGAAATTATCAGGTGTTTTAGAACATATCAATCAATACATACCGCCTGCAGAGATAGACGAGTCGCAGTTTATGTTGGCCAGTAGGTAGGAGCGGTAAGAAAAATCGGATAGAAAAAGCGAGAAAATTTTTTGACATACACTGATCACTGGCTGATCGGGGGGGGGGCATGAGAACCATGTCCCCTTCCCAAAAAAACCTAGAGTTTTCGTTTACCTTCCTTTATTTGGCAAAATTGATTTTAATATTAATTTATGTTCAAATTATGTAATTATTTAAACACCAGCGCCTAGTTCTGTTCCCGACTCGGTACTAACCCCAAACCTGCAGGAAAGCAGCGTCGTTTTCTTTGGGTGTGCTAGTCGTGTGTCAACGCCCAAGGAAATAAAAAGAGCATTTTTTCGTTTCATTTTATTTTGCTGTTTCTCATTTATTCGGCCTTCCTTGCGATCGCCACCAGCGCGTCTATGCAACGCAGGTAACGTGCGAATGTTGTTTAGGCCATATAAGTAATGCTGTATACTCTCTGGTTCAGGCCATTGGCGAATGTATCCAACGTCTTCACGACGGATTGGATGGCAGCAGCGCATCGCGAATCCCCC